CACATATTTTTAAGCAGAATGGAGATCGTGAAGTTGCATCCTTAATTCCAACTGCTAACTTAAAACAAGTGGGAAGACAAGAAGACAGGAGTCCACAGTAGGACACCAAGGCCACTGGTTGGGACGGAGAAAGCTTGCAAGGCAAGTGAGGTAACAGTAACAGGCAATCGCCAAGGAAAGGGTTAGGAAACGTGGCCCACACCAGAGCCTCTTTCTATCAGAGTGCATCCTGGGCACACGGCATTGTGTGCAATGTGGAAGTCCGAAAGCCAGGTGCCTGCTCCCAATGGAAAGAAAGTAGATGCCTTGTACCAGAAAGACAGAGTCAAGGTGCTGTGGAGGCCTCCAGGGTAACCTGGGGGTGGGGGGTCTGGTTGGCAGAGAACCCCCATACCAGATTCTGTGCTAATCTCCCAGACTCACCGTTTAGCAGCTCCTTGAAGTAACCCTATTTGTGCCCCTCCTCCCTCAGAGGGGGTTCCGTTCCCAAGGGCAGTGCTAACGTGCTCAGCCCAAGGACCAGGGTGCCTGCTTGCCTTTCACCCAAATCTGCCTCCTCAAGGTCGTCTTGGAGCCAGTTCCTCGGGTTCCTTTTCTCATTCATGGTAAGGGGACCACGGTATCTCTTACTTCCTGAGGCGGTGGTGAGGATTAAGGAAACTAGAACATTTGAAATGCTTGCACCTGTCCTCAGACCAGGGAGGCATGGATATGCAGGAGACACCAGTGCAGATGCCACCAGATGGCATCCAGGTGGCCTGTTTTGCTCTGTGACTTTCAGCTAGGACTTGAAAGTGTCTCAGCTTCACTTTAGGGGAAATCAGAGGCACACCATGGGGTTGTTGAGAGGTTTAAATGATTTGAAACTCTAAAGCACTTACAACAGCCAGCATCTAGCCTGGTGAGCGCTCAGCACTGGGATGGCATCAGATAGCTTCTGTCAAGCCCTGTTTTATCAGGTTGACATTGTACCGAGCGGGGTGTAAATGAGTGGGGTGGCCCGAGACACTTGTGATCTTGTTCTGTGAACAGATGGCATCAGCCTGAAAACGACCGCTTCTCTTTACCATGTTCCCAAATCATCCAGGACTTACCGTACACACTTTCAAATGCCGCCGTCACCAAACTCTTCATCCAGTCCCTTCCACGCCTCTCCTCCTCTCTGAGTCCCGTCCTCCAACTTTTCCTTGACAGCGTTGTGCCCCACAGGAAAATCTTCTGTGAAATCACAAGCTTTTCTTTTTGCCCTGTCTGGGTACACTGGCCATAATCATCTCACAGCCTTGCATGGCTATTCATAAGGCTTATCAAATGGAAAGCTTAACCACAAATAAGCCGGTTTCATCACACCTTGTAAGGGTGTGTCAGTTGTTCCATTTGATTTGACTTGATGCCAGCCCCGAATCTTGTAGGGTTTTCTTGGAGGCAGCTACTCTTCTTATCTTTCATCCTTGTGGGCACATCCTAAGAGTCGTGGGCACTCTATGCTGTGTGTTAGTTTCCCTTTGTTTAAGCTACCGAAAGAACATGAGTGCTGTGGTTTGAATGTGTGGACAAGGTAGTTCCAAAGTTCCCGTGTTAATGCTGTCTGGAGGTAGGGCCTAGAAGAGGGAATTAAGATCAGGCTAGATTATAAGGGAGTAACCCCGTGCTCTGATGGCATTTGTGGCTTCATGACAAGAGGAAGAAAGACTTGATTTAGCATGCCTCCTCTTTCTCAACACGCTATTCTTTCTACTCTGTCTGATGTGGCGAGAAGATCCTCATGAGATGCAAAGGAGAAGCCAGCGCAGTAACTTAAATTTTCCAGCATCCAGAACCATGATCCTATAAAACATCTTAATATAAATTATTCCTTCTAAGATACTGTGTGGTAGCGATTGTAAATGAGCTAATATAAAAAGAATGTGAGCTCTTGGGATTTCCTTACCCTACGGCTCCACAGCTGGCCTGGGAGTTTTTGGAAATGAAGATGCCAGAGAGGACAGGAGTTTGGCCGTTTTGCTTCAAGACCTCTCTGGAGGACTGGATTGTGTGGTGAACTCCACAGGCTTGTCTGGGGAAGAGTGCAGATGTCATGAGGAAGGATCATGACAGTCGTAAAGTACCAGATCAGGAAGAATTAACAAAGTCCCCCACTTGGAACATGAACTAGGGGAGCTGCTTGAGCGATGGACTTACAGGAAGAAGATCGATTGTGGCATGTGGTTTCAGAGGGCTCCCCCCATCCTGCTGGGGAGCACATGGTGAAATGGAGCCATTCAGTGGCAGTGAGACTGGAGGAGTGGGAGGAGTCACAGGCTTAAAGAGAATTAGGACCTATATGCTGTTAGCTGAGCATCGCTAGGCAAAAATGTATGGCTAGGATCTTCCTGGAGAGGAAAGAGGCAAATAGACAGAAACCTGAATGAAAAAACAGTTGATTGGTCACAAGCAAGTCCAGGTTGTGAAAGAGGGCTTCATGACGCTAGAGGATTAGTTATGCTTTAATGGCTTTGCAAATGGAGGATCACTTCTAACTCGGGGGAGAGGGGACACTAGGCTGTAGATACAGCATGCTGTCTGAGCCACCTTTGAAGCACTGGTAAGAGCTGCAGAGGTGGGGAAGATAGGCAAGACGGCACAAGCAAGAGCATGGAGCCTGCAAGGCCAGAGGCAGGGCAAATGTTCAAGAGCCGTGTCACGGGAGGTGAGCAGTTGCCTGAAAAGCTGAACGACAGATTAGCATCTAGGGCCTCACTCACTGTGCGAGTTTTCACAAGTGGCCTATCCTCAGTCTGACCCAGTTTCCTTGAGTGGAGAGAGAATCATGGAAGTACCCACGAGACAGGGTTGCTGTGTGGACACAATGACGTAGTGCACATGCACAGATCATCCTAGTCCCTGGTGCATGATGACAAGCTGCTAAATAACCGTTGGTAAGTGATTGGTGGTGATGACAATGGCAATGGTGACCAGCAGTGTCTTCAGGTTTCTGGAAATGGTGAAACTGAGGGTTGTACTTTACTTGGTGCTATAATAAATATTCAGATACATAACTCATAAAGAGGAAAGGACTATTTAGGCTCACAGCTGTTTCAGCCTTATAGTTAGGCAGTATATCATGGCAGGAAGATATGGTAGCGAAAATTCATTCACTGCTTCACTAGGGAGCCAGAGAATGGATGAAGAAGGGGCGAGAGTCTTTCTAGCCAGTCTCGGGACATTTTTCCACATTGATATGCAGTTCTGCAACTAGACCTCGACTCTTAAACTCTCTACCAAATCTTAATAGTACCAACGGGTCATACCACGCGCCATGAACCTTTTGTAGGCAGTCAACATCAAAAAAAAAAAAAAAAAAAAAAAAAACAAGATGCCACAAGAAACTATGAGGCCAAGGATATAGAAGATGAGGTGAAGTATTTCGAAGAAATATAATAATGTACTCTGTGAAATTCTCAAAGAATAAATACAAAATTATGACAAAAAAGAGAAAAGTCACAGGGACGTTTAGAGAAAGAAGAAAATAAATAAAGAAGCATTGCCGCTGAATTATATTAGGAGAATTGTTTTAAAAGGGTTTAAGCAGGAGAATAATATAACAAGTTTTACAAATCAACTAGTTCTCTGGGGGTCACTGTAGATTTGAGGAAGGCAAGGCTGCGCAGAAAGATTGGAGAGGTGAAATTACTCCTTCCCAGGTGAAAAGCTGGGGACTGTAGCAGTGGGCAGCAGCTCAAAGAAAGGGCCAGTTTTGCAGAACTTTGGGTGGTGAATGTGGTAGGCATTGGTGAACGAAGAGAAAAAGCTAAGGTCATGCTCGGGGTGACTAGGCAAACAAGTGACCCAACTGTTGCTGTGAAGGACCTTTAAAAGGAGCTTGTGTAGGAAGGACAGAGATGAGGTTGTTTGGAAAGGCTGTGTGTGGAGAATAGATGAGAAGACGTGGTGTATATGGTCTTCTTGAAGACTCCCCAGATGTGGCCCATGGAAAGATCCAGATGCTGCCAGAATAATGTTAGATGGCGCCATGAGAATAGGAGATGTTTCCCGGGAAAGAATGCAAGGTGAGAAAAGAGGAGATCAAGGGATAATCAGTTGGAAGATAACCATTTAAGGAGCAAGAGAAGAAAAGTATCAATATACCAGAGGGCTTGAGAAAGATGGGAGAGCGTGAGGTGTGACAGAAACTTGAATAGAGTTTGAGGATGCGAGTGATGAGCCATCTCGCATACCATCTGTCCATCCACTAAGATGGAGAAGGGGGCTAACTGATTTAGCAAGGAGGTGGGGGATAGAAAGAGCAAAGAGTGTGAGACAGGAAGACGAGTCGGGGATTCAGACTTTATCTGAGATATTCTGAGAAACAGAAAAGTGAAAAGAGTCAAGGAGGAAGGTAGCAGAAAAGACTGTCAGGGTGTGACAGTGAATTCTGTTGTTGAATCTAGGAGACGCATCTCTAGCTGTTGGGCGTTTCCGGGGAAGTATAGACTGAGGATGGAAAGATGAATCCTAAATGTGGATGGCATCCCATGTCTGTGTTCTGGACTGGGAAACGGAATAGGGGAAGCAAACAGACCATCACCACCCACCCCTCTGTACCCCCAGACTGTAGATGCAATGTGATTAGCTTACCCTTCTTCCTACCCCGTGGGATCACTGCCATATTTCCCCTACTGTGATGGGCAACAGTTTAAACTGTGGGTCAAACTCAACGCTTCCTTCCTTGAGTAGTCGATTAGGTGCTTTGTCATAGCAATGAAAACAGTAACTAATCCTTAGGAAGCTGAGTCTTCTTCTTCTGTATTATTGCTTTTGCTGTGTGTGTTGTACATGTGTGTGGGTGTGCACACTGTGGTGCACATGTGGAGGTCCTAGAACACCTTTCTGAGGTCAGTTCTCTCCTTCCACCTTAAAGTGTGCTCCAGGGATCGAACACAGGCCGTCAGGCAGTACAGCAAGCATTTCTGCCTGCTACATCGTATCATCAATGCTAACGGAAGCTTTCTATTGTATAGAAATGAACTTAAGAAGAGGAGGATGCTGCAGAGGCAAAGGAAAAGGAATAGAGCTGATGATTTAAAGGTCACAAGGAGGCAGATGAGCACAGTGTCAAGAGCCTGTGCAGAAAGAAATTTAGATGGGCCAGAGCGACCAAGCAAACAGAACCAACTCTTGATCTACATTTTGTGAAACTCTATCAAGAAGATAAGTGTTTCAAGGCTTTCTAGATGGGCAACCTCAAATTCTGCATGTACTAATAATGAACTTTTATCGACACAAAAACACAAGTAAATCGTGGTGATTGTTAAGGCTTTCCTGGAAAGGTGTGAAGACTTGGAGCGCCCACTAAAGAGATGTTCAGCAAGAACAAGGGATAGGTAAAAAACATCAGACCCAAGGTCCAAAGAAGATACGAATCTGTGGCGAATCCCATTTTAGTTACTAGGCAATGCTACTCCTCTGTCTTTTAAGAGATTGGATACAGAATGAGAAGTATAACTGAAGCATTCTCCCAGGTCTACATCCTCACAGGCTCAGGGAAAGTCTGAGAACATAAGACAATTAGGGATACCAGGCAATCAGTACTTTCTCGAAACAACCAGGGAGCACAGATTCAGGATGCTAGCAATGACCCCTTTACCTTCTTGTTTATCCTCAAAAGGCTCAAGGGGAAAAAAATGACCTCAGAAGGAATTATGTGTCTTCTAATCATTATTATTTGACTGGATAAGACCCCATTTTCATTTTAACTCTAATTCACAGTTATGAAAACCAACTTATTTAATTTAATTGCCTTCTCTTTGTCCTGGGGTTATGTATCAGTTTAAAGCTTTGGGAATGCCCACCTCCCCCTGAATCACTGGATGGCCTCCAGGGAACCTGAGGGACAACAAAGATATTATGTACTCGGATTAAAGGGGCAAACATTTCCCCAGACCCACAGAGAGGCAACACCTCCAAACTCTCAGTAGAAATGACCAGAAAGAACAGGGGTATCCTTTAATTAGCTAGTTTTAGAACACATGCTGGGAAATAAACCCAGTTAGCCCCCAAATATACGTGAGGTGAGAGGTTATTTTCTAGAGAGACAGTCCATGGCCTAGGAGACGTTAGTGGCTTGGTTGGAAAACTTCAGGACACAGTGAACAAGGCGTTACCAGTCGTCCCCCTGAGTGGCTGGCAATACACAAGCCATAATTATTTACTCTCCCTGGCTAGGGCTACCCCTCAGTGCAGAAGACAGAGGAGAGCCCACCACTCTAGATGAATGACTGACACTTCCTCGGGCCTCCAAGGAACTCTGGGCATGCTCTCTGGCTGCTCTGACAGATGTTTTAGGGAAGTACTTCTGATTTGTCAACTGCAAACGATAGAACTCTCTTGGTGGCCTGTCCCATTTGGTGGGCTGGGTATCACCCTGACTTGGGACAAAAGGCCACTGACTTGGACATCACAAGCACATGTTGTTAAAGACAGCAGTGTCTCTATAAAACACAGTACTGTTAGAAAAAGGAATTCCTTTTTTTTTTTAAATATAAAACCCCCATGTGTTGGGTTGTTATTCTTTCTAAAAACAATCCCCGCCTTTTCATTGTACTGAATTAATTGTACTTCTCTAGTGCCTTTCGTGGTTTTCATAAGTCATGTTAACTTCAATCTCCTCCTCCTAAAAGCTTCAGCAACTTTCTAGAATTAGATATAATCTCTTGCTTGATTGTCTTCATGTTTAGGCTCAGTTTGACCTTCCAACAGTGGCCAGCACCAAAGCCCATTTCTTCATCTTTGTTCTCTCTGTTTTTACACATCCTGCCCTTTCCTTCCCCTTCGCTTGGCTTCTCTCTCGCCCTCCATCTCCATCCTGAATCAGCTCCTAAAGATTCACTAGTTCCCACCTAACCAGTAGACTACTTCTTCCCAACTCTCAAATTCCAGCATGATCTCTTCCTTTTCAAGGGTCTCGTATATTTGATGTTTTTGTTTAAAAAAAACCTCTACTATATAGTGTCTTAGTGAAGTGTCTTCTTACATTGAAAGCTGTGGCTTTTTCATTTGTAATTCAAAGCCTGGAACAAGCATCATTTCCAGTGTGAATTCTTTTCCATACGCACATAATAATTCTCATAAAAATTCTCTCCCATTTTCAACAACTAAAAAAATAAATAAATAAATAAAATTCTCTTCTTGTGGTGTGTTGTGTGTGTGTGTGTGTGTTCTATAGTGGGTGTGTGGAGGTTAAAAGACAACTTTGTGATGTATTTCTCTCTTCCCACCTTTGTGTGGATTCTAGGGGCCAAATGCAGCTCACCAGGCTTGAACAGCAAACACCTTTACTGCTGAGTCATCTTGCCAGCTCTGTTTTTAACATAGGCGCTTCTTGGCCTGTGCTGGAATGGTTGGCTTTGGTGTTTGTGGTCAGCAGTTTGAATTTCAGCTCTGCTGTGTGATCCTAGGTAGGTTACTTAACCCTTCTGTGTACTTTTGCTTTCTTACTTCTAAAATGGCAATATGACATCTGTCTTAAACAGTCCCTGTAGGGACTCAATGAATTAGGACATTAAAAAAATCTTGTCAGTTCAAATGCCAGCATCATTTCTGTATTTTCTTACCTTTTGTATTTTTATTGATAAAATGATGCTTCAGCAAAGTCGAACTATGACAGCTGTTTGTCAAATAAATAAACCAGAGCAAGGGATGTCTGGTGCTTCTTTATAATAGTGTCTAAATTTAAAAAATGTGGATTGCCCTTCACTAGCTTTCCCACACAAATTAACATGAGGTTTATCATAGGTAATCGATACACATTTTCAGAGCTTTGCAAATATTAATTCAGGAACTGACAGATCGAGAACAATATAAATAAAATTGCGATGTATTATTTTCATATCAAATCAATAGCCACACAGAATCGTCCACGAAGGTTGGGAAAGACAGTCCCTTTGTTTTAAAGCCCCTGCCCCACCCCCCCCCCCGTTGGGAGGATTACTTAATGTGCACAGCTGTTTTTAGCCAGTCTCTTATGCTCCAATGCTACCCAGCAAACCTTCACAATAGCTATAAGCGTGAATGACAGAGAGAGCTAGGGTGTGCAGAATGCCAACACAGACTTCAGGAAGCCCGAAGTGGAGTTTGGACCCCAGACGTACTTGCCAACCAGAAAGTTGCAAAGATATACAATAGCGTTCCTGAAGTCTGGGACTTCGAAGCCCAGAGGATTGTTCCCCCTAAGCAACTGAGTCAACTGTGGCAGGCATGGGCCTAAGTCACAGTCCAGGCTGACATTCGTCACACCCAGGACCACGCTGCAGAAAAAGCCGCTAGCGGTTTGTTCCGCTAGAAACGCTTGCACTGGCTCCCCCCCATCCCCCGCCTCCCGCCCGGCTTTGTCACTCAACTTTTCTCGTTCTGTACAGGAGAGGCTTCTCCACCCCCACCTCCGTGCTTTTTAAAGTAACGCCAGTGGAACAGCTAATGAGGCGACGGAAAGCAAGCTGGTCCCTTCAGGGCTGCTAATGACTCCATGCCTGGGAGCCTAATCAAAGATTTGTACATTTAATTGCTGTCAAGTCAGCTCCAACCACCTGCCATTTCTGCAGCACCTGAGCTCCCAGCTCCGTAGCCGCTGATTCTAAATGAATCCATCACTGTTTCTAAGGGCTGGAAAGCCGGGCTGCTGGGCAACCTTGAAGCAGGTTTATCCAGGAGGGCAGAGATCAAGGGGCCCCACTGGGGGTGGGGGAGTCGCTTACCTCATGGGTTTGGCCTTGGGAAAGACACCTGCTCTTTTTAGAATCTGACGCCTGCTTTTCTGGGGGAGGGGGGGAATGAAAGGTGTGGAGGGTGCCACACGGATAGCAGGAGAGCAGGGGGAAGTGACAGTGGACCCCGTTTTTTTCAGAGTCTGTGGGGGGCCTTTATTCTGAAGGATGACTGAACTTCTGCTCCCAAAGCTGGTTGTAGCCTGCGTCCGTGTGTGCTAACAGTGCTTTTGGAGAACATGGTGTTTGTTTTGTTGTCTTTCCCTAGTTCAGGCTGGAATTGATTTCTAGGCTCTTTGGGAGATTTGGGGGGATGAGAGCACCTTAATCTAGACCTAGATTTAATCTAATGGCTATTAAGCAAGCTGCCTTGTGGGGTGTCTGTCTGTGGGGTAAGCAAGGGCTGGTTAGCTATTGTTTCTTCAGTTGTGATAAAATACTTTAAACTTACATACTGAAAATTTCCTCCCTTTTAAAAGTTAATGAGCTTATTTTAAATCTTAGCCACAGTTTACCCTCCTTCCTCTCCTCCCAGTCCCTCCCCACACCTCCTTTGTCCCCCCCCCAATCCACTCCTCTTCTGTTTATGTTTAGAAAAGAACAGGCTTCCCATGGATATCAACAAAACATGACATGTCAAGTCGCAGTAGGACTTTATATTAAGGCTGACCAGACAACCCAGCATGGGAAATAGTACCCCAAAAGCCAGCAGAAGAGTCAGTGGGACAGCCCCTGCTCCCACTGTTAGGAGTCCCATAAGAAGACCAATCTACACAGTGTTGCATGCATTCAGAGGGCATAGGTCAGTCCCATGCAGGCTCCCTGGTTGTCACAGTCTCTGTGAGCCCCTATGATCCCAGGCTAGTTGATTCTGTGGGTTTTCTGGTACTGTCCTTGACCCTTCTGGCTCCTACAATCCTTCCTCCCCCTCTTTTGCAGGATTCCCTGAGCTCCTTCTAATGTCTGACTGCATATACTAAATTCTAACCTTGCCCTCTTTATCAGTTCTAGGTTCATCAGGGATACCAGCTAAACCTTATTTTTCTGACTTAGTTCCTAGGATGGTTGTTCTAAATGTGAGCACACAGTCAAATCATTGGGTGGATGTATTAAACACACTCTGAGACTCCAACCCCAAGGGTCCTGATGCAGTTGACTTACGGTTCAGTCAATGATGCGCTAGTCAAACTCTTGGTTCTGCTAGTCCTATTGCAGGGCAGGGGTAGATAATGATCTAAAAGTCCCTGCTTTCTGTGCCCGGCTTGGCACTGGCAGGAGGATGAGGTGATGTATACTTGACCAGCTGTGTCTGCCTGAGTTGGCCAAGGAAGAGCCTCTGGCCCTGAGAACTTAAGGAGGAAAAATGATGATTCTTCTCTCCTTCTCCCATCCTGGGCCAAAACTCACATGTAACCAATGGAAATTACTCAGACTGAGCCAATGGTTGGGCAGGAAAGACGCTTGGTCTAAAAACCTCTTTAGAAATTGTTTGGGAATTGGTTCCTCTCTAGGGTGACCATGTCAGGGATGTCTCAGGGTGGTCCTCGTCCAACAGGGATGCTGTCTATCTGCCATTCCTTCTGCACTGTAAGAGGCATATTATTAATTCAGATTTACAAGTAAAAATAGAGGTTTATCATATGTTTATCTGTACCCTTGACAAAGAGAAGGAAAGAAAAAGAAAATCAAAACAAAATGTCAACAAAGCAGAGGGAGGAAAATGATTCAGGCTGTCTGTATTCATCAGCCCAGGGTCTCATGGGCAAATCTTTGAAGCAACTATGCAGCTGGATCTCTCTCTCTCTCCCTCTCTCTCTCTCCCCCTCTCTCTCTCTCTCTCTCTCTCTCTCTCTCTCTCTCCCTCTTTCTTTCTTTCTTTCTTTCTTCTTTCCTTTCTTTCTCTCTCTTTATTTTTCCTTTCCTCCTCCTCCTCCTTCTTCTTCTTCTTCCTCTTTTTTCTCCCCTTCCATTTCATTTAATAAACCTAACCCAACTTACAAAGTAAGTTAGAAGTGATAAATATCTCTACCCTTCTGCAGAAACCTACTGATTCTGAGTAGCCTTTGACCCGAATCTCCAGGAACATGACAACTTGGGATCAGCTAGCTGGTCTGATAAAGAAATAGCAGAGACTGACCGTGTTCTAAAACTTTCCCTTGCGTGTTGTTTTCCTGTATTTGATTGCTTTCTTCTGCCCTACATAGTTTTAGGCACATTCCAGACAAATGCACCCTTGCTTTGGTTTCCCCATTGCTGCCTTGACTATCTAATCAGGAACCCTGGAAAGTGTGCATGATAACCTTACTGGAAAGCAAACATCATCCGATCGTCCAATCACGTGGAAAGATATTGTTAATTGTTATTCACTTAGGCCTCTAAATCTTTCCCCAGGGCGCTTAAAATCACAGAAATCAGGGTCATTCATTCTTTAGTCACCTCTGGAATTTGGGTCTGAAACTGTCTATGACCTGGGAAAATGGAACACAAGAATAAGTTCTATCATCTCATAAGACTCCAAACAGCAAGTCTGTATGTAGGTAAGTTATGTATTTCAGGAAATTATGCAAACGGGAGCCTTCCAGGTGGAAGAGCTCACCTTCTTCAGTCCTCCAGAAGCAATTCCCGAAGGAGACTTCTGGCCATAGACTCCTTTAGTGACCTCCGGAGGATAGTGTCTGAGACGCCACACCAAGCTCATCTTGAAGGCTGAACTGAAAGACACTTCCGGGGCTCTCTTCCCTGACCCGAGTCTTTCCAGCTGCTGGAGCTGAGTTTC